TTTTAGACAATCCCTTTTGTGTGAAAAACACATGCGAGATGGTCACACTGTCAGATCTAGGTCTGTCAGACACATCCCTGACGTCTGCTGACCCGTGGGGTACGTGAGGACAGCTGCAACTAAGTTACGCTTTTCTACGACTGACCAGAGATCCAGGGATGACCAGAAAGGCTTCCTTTTAGATATTTGCCTACATCAGACTGTATTGTCCAGGGTCTCGGGAACTGCTGAGTATTCCCAGCAGCCTGAACAGCTTTGAAACCATAGACCAGTTGGCCAATATCTAACAGATGATCTTATATCCCAAAAATTCTGCATCAATCTGATTTATGATGGAAGTCCTGAAGAGTAGGTTCCTGCTGGTAAAATGATTGGTTGTGCTGTGGTTTTTTTACAAGAATCAGCTTTGGGCAAACTCCCTTTGACTGCAGAAAGTGTAGAGTTACTCACAGAAAAGTGATTCTGAAAATCCTTCACAATAAATGGTGATTATTGTGGCTTTAGAAAGTCATCTAGCTTGTTCCGATATACTTTCCCAGACTAGTAAAATGCACACTCTTCACTACTAAGGAAGGAAAATTATACAATTGTTTTTCTTGTTAAACAGATGTGGTTATGAGCACTGCTGTGAAAAAGATTCCTCCCTCTTCCCCAATTGATTTGATTTGAAACAGATTTTCTTTCAGGTAAGGAAGAAAAGGCTGCTTCAAATTAAATGAAATGCTTTGTTCTCAGATTACCTAAATCCCTTACAAACATTGGGTAATCTTGATATGAAAAGTCAGAACATTTTATTTAGAAAATACTGAAATTAATATTTTGACATTACTGAAACCTATTTCTATTTATTTTGGTTTTTACCTTTGGCCATAATTGTTAGTTCAGTTTGACCCAAATTACCAAGTCCTTTGGTTTCCTACCATAAATGGTAGGAAAAATTCTTAGCAAACCTACATTTCGGTGTAGAACTCTTACCCGACTGAAGTTACATGAGCAGCCTGTTCACAGTAGTAGCTGGAGTTACTACTACGGTGCAGTCCCATCGCCACAACAGCAGCCGGCCAGTTGGGAAGGGGAATGAAAACTAAGTTGTGAAGCAGCCAAGATAAGCCATAAGGCGTAGAAAGGATCTGCGTGGAAAATGGGGTTAGTCTATTGATTAGGAACTCTGGCCACAGTGTCAGCAGTTTTCTCCTTCCTGTTTAAGACGACTGGAAATTAGGCTGCATCCAGATAAGTTAACGGGAAATCACTATCTGAAAAAGAGGCCAATGTGAAATATTAAAGTTCTTTGGGAAGGTGCAGAGGGATGATAATCACTCGGTAAAGAGACATAACATTGAATTTAGTTAAGAAAGATGGAATATAAAAATCCAGTACAGATCTGGGCATCTTAGCTATCAAAAAACTACAATATGCCATTCTCAATCATAGGGCCAGGCACTGGCACAATGAGGAAGTGGGAAAACAGGACAAACATTTAATAAAGGGCAGACATTGAAGTGGGCCTCTTCTTAGCTCTAGCACTGAACTCAGAGAAACGGCAAGAGAGAAATTTTGGAGTTAAAAAAAAAAAAAAAAGACTTTGATAGGAGTCTGGAAGATCATGGGTACCTAATCTAAACCTCCATTTCTGAAAATTATCCAGCCATTTCAGGACACTGAAATCTTCACATTTGTCTAGGACTAAAACACATTTTTCCCCACTATACTCCAAAAAATAACCAGCCACCTTTACAAGGATAATCATCCTCTACCACTGGTCACCCCCACCTCTTTTCCTTTTACAGCGCTCTCATTTCACATCTACTCAAGTACAAACTCTCTTGGCCCAGAGAAAACACAACACTTGAGTCTAGAGGGATGCAGAATGACATACAAGAGAAACATGTTAGATCCTACTCATCTCCCAGGGCGATTTCTGCATTTTATGCAGCTCTAGAATAAAACACACAAAGCAACTGTGGAAGCCCTATGGACCATTGCCATAGGATATTTTTTGCAAGGTGTCTACCTCTCTGACTGCTCATAAAGCAACATTAGAGAATCATGTGTGCTACACCAACTAGAAAACCTTTTGCAAAAGCATTGAACTCTGGGCAGCTCCTGAGACCCAGAACTGAGTTCAGACTCCCTACAAATCCCACACAGACTTGTGGCAATCAGAGCCAAAGTGTTTTTTCAAAAGATGCTTGCTTTGGGTACCAACAGGGGTGCCCACTGCATCCTCCCAGCAAGTGATGCAATGCAGCCTTGGGTGCCATTATCCACAGCAGTTAGATGGGGCTGTATGGAGGCTGCCCAGGCAATGAAACTGGAAAGTCCTCAGCTTCTGACGAGAAACTCCTCTCAGAAAACCTTCACTTAATATTTTTAAATGTTGATCACAAACAAGCAATGTCTTGTAGTCAGACACTCCAACCAGAAGTGTAATTCAGAGTATAATCTTTCCTTGTGAAGAAAGGAGGATTGAACAGTTGGTATGCTTTAGGCAACCAACTTTTTTAATTTTTTTATATTTTTTTTGTTGAAAAAAGGAAATCCAGCATATTTAAGAATAGCGAACTTACTAATGAAGCTGCTAATCTTTTTTCTATTCTTAATTAAAAAAAGACAACCCAAAACCAGAAGTACGAGAGATAAGTTTGTGCTTATGTACAGTAGTACAGGCACATTAAGGAATTATGCAGAAAGGAACAATTCAGAAAACAAGTACAAAGCAAAAAGGAATATTCTTTCTAGCACTGAAATGAAAGCTAATGAGCCCTCGCTCATGCAAAAAAGGATCAAATGCAGTCCACATTGTACAACTGCAACATGTCCTCCATCCAAAACATGAGTAAAGAACAAGTTAGCTGGTTAACTAGTACTGCCAAGTACTCCTGTCAGTCCCTAAACCACCACCAGCAGCAGCACATCTATATTGGATGTAGGAGCATTTACCAAACTGTGTTGTCCGATATCTTTAAGATGTCACTTCTAGAAACACTACTTTTAGAACTGGAATGACAGTGGTAGCATTGAACATGGTGCCATTAATATCTTCAGAGCAGTAGTAACCTTGCTTGAAGGCAGCATATTCTTCAGGACAAGCTTGCATCTTTTGGAAAAGGTACAGCAATACTAGTCTGTGAGGAAACTAGTGCTTACAAAGGGATTAAATGAAGAGTGCCAAACCTGATGGAGCAGCATGGAAACATAAGAGAAACGTATGGCTAGCTCCAATTTTTTGTTTCCTTTTTTGAAAGAAAATATCCAACCTCCTTCTACTCCACTAATCCCATCCCAAGGGAATCACTCTATTTTCTAAATCAATCTATGTTCAGAATAAACAAATTCTGTGTGCCACTATCTTCAGAACTCAACTGCAGTTTGTCCTTGTTATAGCCACTTTGTATTATCATGAAGAAACAGAGAAAAAAAAAATATTTTCATGCTCATCATTTAGGTAAAAAAACCAAAACAGAACAAAACAAAAGAAACAAAAAACCCACCTCAAACCTATTTTTTCTTTTCTGCTACATAGGTCTTGAACGCGAGTTAAGACACACTCTTCCCCAGCTTCCACCACCTTATTTCAGCTACCATTTACCAAACATTGCAAAAGTTAGAAAACAAGTGGGACATGGGGGTAACAGGAATATCTGAAAGGTCACAGAACATATTTTGTTCAGAATCCCCCTTTCCCTCAAGAGTTTATCACCTCTCAGAGATATGTCTAACTTAAAGCCGTTAATTGTTTCTAACTGCCAGAACTGTCACTCATCCATAACACATTAGCACACAGGTAGTTTTTTTAACAGCTCCTGCTCTACATAATTTCATTTGCAATGCATACCTTCATTTTTATTTTAAATTCTAAGCGATTTCCAGAAATTATCTAAAGGGTTATGTTTCACCTGTGGATTTTTTAAAAATTATTTTTATTTTTTTTTAAAAGTCAGGTGAACAGCTGGACTACAACTCAAACACCAACAAAAAAAAACCCCAAACAATCCTAAATACTGATAATTATTACAAAGAACGGCTTATGCATTCCTTATTAGTGAAACATACCTTCCCATCCCACTCCATCCCCAAAATGAAGAGTTTTCTACTTTTAAGCAGATAAATCAGAACTGTTGTTTATGTTGTAGCAAATATGCAAACCAGAATACCTCTCAGTTACATCTCTGGATTTGCTGCCTTTCGCATACTAACATAAGCACCACCCCCACCTGTTAACAGATAACATGCAGATTTGTGAGTTACCGTTAACGGCTCAGGAGTCCTATTCAATAAGAAAGGGATTGCGTATCTGAAAAACCTGTTGCCTTTAAAAATGAATACAATTAGTAACACAGTAATCTTCAGGGCATGGCATTTGCATAAAATGAAATACGGGCCCGATCAAGGCAACTCTGTATTCACACGAGCGGTCCGGTTCAAGTAACCAGCATCCCTTACATAAGAATTATCCCATAGTTCACATTTTAAGTTAAGGCTTCTTAATTTGGTTGGTTGGTTGTACAATTGATAACGAACAGACCTTTTGGTTTATGCCTGCTAGGACATTTCCGCTAAATTCATAAGCTTCAGGCTGATTTAATAACAACTTGCCATTAAAAGAACACAGACAACCTTTTCCTCAGTAAATGTTTTACCCCATCACCTGGAGATCGATTTGAGAGTCACTTTACTGTGTAGCTTTTGTCAAAGCCTTTTTTTTCCCCCTAAAACAATAATCCAGTAAAAACAAATTAAAACAAGAAACAAAACCACTATTTCATGCCTTGATAACTCTATTTTTCCACTTCTAGCAATAACTGGAATCTGTGCTTCTAAACTCACTTCGGAAATGCCATCATCACAAACTGCATATTGCTCAGGACTCTTTAACTACTTATTTAGCTACTCAAACACTGCAAAGGAGCTGACGTTGTATTAGAAGAGAAGCCAAATGAGCCAAACTCCATGCATCCCCCACCCTGTTACTCACGAGCGTTTGTGTAAGCCCTTACCTGCTGGGTAACGTTCGATAACTGGCCAGTTGTCCACCTGTAACGTGGCATTGCCACCGCTTCTTGTGAAACGTACTACATGGTATTTTCCATCATTAATGATTGCGTTGATCTCTTCAATAGAGATGTCATCAGTTCCAACATTAAATTTAACTCCGATTTTTCCCTGGTGCTGCATGTTTTTTAAAAAAAAAAAAAAAAAAGAGGGAGAAGGAAAAGAAGAACTAATTAAGAGTTGTTTTAGCAAGAAATAGAGACAGTGTGTCATACAGGGAAAGATTTCAAAAAACATCGTCCCTCCTCAGATGTGACTTCTGAAGGCTTGCATGTGGCAGTGACAAGCCTCCTGACAGCTCAGTAAGTCCGGGACATGACTTTGATGGATAATTGATATTCCAAATGAGTTATTTCACCAAATTGAGTTCTTTCCTTTTCCAAGAGATTCAGACCAAGATGAGGAGGGGGGAAGGAGGAGGAAAGCTCAAGTTTTCGGTCTTTCTCTCCTCCCTCACCTCCATGAGGATTAAAAACCATTTCTCCTTTTAGGCTTTCAAAATTGAAAGCCTTGCGGTGTCACTTGGAAGAGGTATGAGGATTTCCTGGCTATAAAAGCCAAGGCCCAGCCCTGCATCTGCTTTCTCCAAACCTCATTCATACTCAAGAATCTTCACAAATAACAACAAAGGAGGAATCTTTTTTTTTTTTTTCTAATAGGTTTGGGGTTTTTTTTTGCATCACATTGTAGTAGCTCCAAATCATCAAGACAAGAACGTACCAATTGACTACCAAGGACTTTCCTGATCAGAGCCAGAGAGGAGGGAAAGGCATTTGTGACACAAGGGCAGCACTTTGTTTCCAGAAAGGATTGAGATTCTTATTTTTTTGCTAGGATTTGCCTGTAAACTGTGCCTGAGTGTGCCTAGGGCTACGAGGACTTCCCACACACATTCATACTCAGGACCAAGGCTGTAGATTCTCTAGATGATTGTGATATTAGCACGTTTTCCTTTTTATTGTCTTTTAATTATTAATATGTTCACTCTAATGGGGCATTTACATTTTAAGAAAGTCTTTTAATGTCTATTAAAAGTTTAACTTTAGGGCTTTGTGTTTTGGTTTTTTTTTTCTCCCATAAAATCAATTCTATTACTGAATAAGGATATTTATTAAATTGAGGAAAAAAAAAGAAAAGCACTGCACAGTATGAGATTAAGGGCTTGTGCATAATAGGTGGTAACTGTATGTGAAATTTCATGTCATTGATACTGGTACATCCTTCTTAAAAGTTAAAAAAAACTTCTTAAAGTTTTTACACTACCAGATGAAACACAATGAAACGTTTCACTTTATACCTCTTGGTCATTCACGTCAATCTGTCCAGAACCAGCTTCACCTCTCACATGTAGCTTTTGTGTCTGCTCCCTCTGTCTCTTACTCCCCTGGCACCATAAACGTATCCTGCAGCTCCTCCTCTCTGGAAGTCTCCCAAACGAGGAACTCGGGAGTTCTTCCACTTTATTCTCTTTTTAAATATCTGACTCCATTTTCCAATAGTGCTTGCATATTCCAGTTACACAGTTGAGCAGCTGCTGAACACCTTTGGAGAGAGTCCCTCAACGTTTCGGTACTACTCTATCACCTCTTCAGCTATGATCTTTTTCAAAACAGTAAAAGGACCATTCTCTACTGAGATTTGCAGAATGACTCTGAAAAGTATTTTTTTCATTTGCTCCATTGCTTAAATAATGTGCTAAACATTCTTCCCCCCCCCCCGTGGATTGTTTTAACATTTCTCTGTTGACTGGTCCTACTTTTCTATGCCCATAGGGCATCAATAAGGGATGAACCTCATCCAGCCCATGCTCTCTTTTGCCTGTCATGTGAGCTGCGGAGCAATCTCCCAGTTTTCTTGGGAGAATAACAGTTGCTCTATTTTATTTTGACTGGTTCAACTATGACTCAGAGTAGATTTCACCCGTTTTCTCCCATGGATGCTTATTTGCCTCACCTGTTTCATTCATATGCTTACTCTCTTTATACAGAAATGTATACAAAGAAATAAAACATTCTCCTCCTGGCTCTAAAGCAATCTCCTCTTTTATTAATTTATGAAATGCAGAAACTCAGCATGTAATGATAATGGCGTATGCACCTTTTCACAATATTTTCAAGAAATAAAAGGCTTTGAGGATTAAAAAAACTTGACTAATTTTACAGTGATTCATAATTATACTATTCATAACATACACTTTACATACCTGCTTTCCTATTTGCTATATATATGTATATACATATATTATTTCAGACCAAAAAACACCAAAGGAAAAAAAAACCCACCTTTGAGTGAATAGGACAGGTGCAGGCAAAATGAAGTGGCATAAAAGGCAAATATATCAGCAGCTTTTCCGAAATAGAGAACGTGGTGCTGCAGTGGTTACCAAGTTACCATTTGTAAATGGCCAGGTATTGGAAATAGCAATGAATGCTTTACAGTCCTGAAGGCAGACCTTTAGCCTTACTTGATACATATATACCTTTCTGTGAAAAAAGCAAGTTTCCCTGACTTCCCTACATTTGTACAGAACTACCGTACACAGACACCAAGCACATGGCTGCAATAGCAAAGAATATCACCCTAATAGTTGGTAACATACTACAGTGATTTTTTTTTTTTGGCTCTATTTCTAATGTATTGGTGTAGCTGAGAACATTAAAAACTCCATATTGAAAGGATACATTTCATTTTTTCGCACTTCTTCAGCACCTGTGGGTATTTATGCAACCTCCCATAAAACAAGGAAGCAAATCTGGGTTTCGACTTTAAGTCTTTGTTATTATTATACCCATATTTAAGTTTGACTTCTGGACATCACGCTGAACACAATAAGAACTAGAACCCCGTTGTGCACAGCCCTTTAGAACCGCAAAATGAAATATGATGCAAAGACCTGACAGTACAAGGGCCCAGACAGATGATGACACTACCACAGAGCACTAAGTCACCATGTATCAGCTGAGTTGCAATAAGCACCTCCGTATGCAGATCATGTTTGTTTTTTTTTTTTTTTAAAGCCCTTGCATAATCATGCAGTAGTTTGACTTCACTGCAAGATAACGTAAGTCGTGTTATTTTTCAGTTGTCATTGGTTAAGACCATGTGTACATACAGTTATGGATGAGCTGATGTACGGTAACCCGTTGAGATAACCTGATCTCGGCCCTCAGCCCTGTGATGCTTAATCTAATGGACCTGTAACCCGCTAGAAAGAACTGATTTTATTTCTCCTCCTTCTTTTTGGAGCAACATGTTAGTGCGGAAAGGGAAGAGACTGATAAAACCGAAGCATACTAAATTACTATTTCTGCTTTGCCAGCCTCAGTTGCATAGTGCAGTAGTAGAAGTTCTCCTCTATCACTTGTTCATTCATAATAATCTTAAAGTTATTCTTCCTATCAGAAACGGCCTCAGACAAATGCTGAATGAGAGATTCCCTCTTCAGCACCCTGATGATGGGCACTATAGAAATGTCTGTGCGTTACTAAGTACCGCAACAAGTCAACATTGCTGTTGAATGACGTTATCCCTTGCCAGTGCTATTTCAGGTCACACATATATTTCTGAAATGCTGTGCTATTTCAGGTCACGCATATTTCTAGAAGGTTATGTTTCCCCACTACAAAAGATGATAATTTCAGAGCTCCCCCGGTAAAAATCAGCTCTGTACACAGGACCTGTAGACGTCCACTGCACTATTTATAGTTCTTAGCCTGTGTTTTATTTTTCTCAATCTCACCCAGTTGTGAGTGAACACAGAGATGAAATCAATCCCTTTTCCTACTGTGCCTTTATCTGATATGAACTAGGAAGGCCACAATAACAGACTAAGACATGGAGGGGATGGGAGAGTCTCCAATATTATCTGTACCTTCAGGAGAGGAGTGAAGCATTTCAAGAAGTAGCATAAATGTTGTTCTCTGTCTCCGGAAATTATTTTGTACTTCAAATCAGAAGGCACTATGAATAGTGCTACAATCATCACATCCCCACCACCGCTCCCTGGGACAGAGCAGCGCAGGGACCTGGAGTCACCTGCAGACAAGGTACCCGATGCTCTGAGCCCCAGCTGGCAGCTGTTCAGAAAACCTGAACTTTTGGTTTGGAGGTACTCTGGCCATGTAGCTCTCTTGTTTCTGAGGCCAGAGTGACTTTCTGTCCACAGTACCCACACAGACAGATAAGCTCATTTGGTGTTACCTAAAGCACCCCTAATGTTAGCGCAACATGCGATGTAGGCTTTGCCTGCAGTTTAACCTCTGCTGTCCAGCCACTTGTAGCAGTCCAAGCTCACAGGGTAAGGATACCTATGTTAATGGCTTCAAAGCAGTTGGATAAAAGCATGATATACACATTTAGCTCCAATCCTACGTCCCTAACGGGCTCTGAACTGCTAGGAGTTTTGATGGCTCAGACAGTAGATGTGTGTGCACGCATGTGTACATACCAATCATTTCAAAATGTTTTGTCTTCAAAAGTGCTGGTGGCTACTATTGTAATCTAGCAACTCCAGCGGAATATTTTCAAGCATGTTTTACGAATCGTGTACCCCATATACTTCTACCTTGGCTTTAACAGGCTTCTGATGAAGCACCGAGAATGCTGATGGACTGAGAACCAAGGAAGAGACGTGAAATGCAAAGCAAGCCAGCAGCTGACAGTGCAATTTGTTCCCTCTTGGACCCTAGTTCAGTGCTACCAATTTGCCAACTCCAAGTGCAGTAAAACCTATGCTAGTATAAAAATACATAGATATATCTCCAGTATAATGATATTTCCTATAGCATCAGCAAGGTTTTACTGCTCTCTGTAGTAATAATTCTGGAATAAAACATGAGCGTGTGCAAATTTGGCACAACAGTAGTTTTAGAAGAGACCACAGACAGCCTAAGCTCTTAATACTTACAACCTTTAACCACTTTCAAAGAAAAGTAATAATACTGTGACTCCCACAGGTGAACAAATAGAGAAAAAAAAACCACAAGCATGCCAGCTTGCATTTTATAGTGTCAGTCTCTGAGGCACTACTTGCTGTGAATGTGATAACAAAGTCTTAGAACTGATGGTTTAACTTTGATTTTATTGTAGAATAAGTTTTTTGAGTTTTATTAAGAAGC